CCTGCTCATCTCATTAATCTGATGAGTGGAAACGTTGCACTTGCTTGGGACTTCAAGCAAAACACAGGTAGGAGTCTTCTAAAATTACCCAAAGGAGTTCATGTGCAATTAGATGAGTGTAAGTGCAAAGTCATGCCCTGAAGCTGTGCTAGTTTGAACCCCTGAGGAGACTTCACCATTACTTGTGGTGAAGACCCTTACAGGGTCAGAGCTGGAGGGGCTGTGATCTGCGTATTGTATCTGCTTGAGATCAAGCAGTCTGGGAACAGAGTTTAAGAAAGCACAATTCTTTCAAAACAAAATTGGTATGAGTGAGAGAAGATACTGGAAGGAAAGGATAAATGCAGAAAAATTTATTTATAAAAGGAGGATGTGGAGAGAGAGAAGGTGGCAGGACAAAAAGTTTCTCTCAGCTAGAAGGGGATTGGGTGAAGACAAAAACACTTCTTGAAGGTGCTTCAGAAGAAAATGCTGAGAAGATGCAGGGTGGCTGTAATGCCCTCATCAACCAAAGAGCTTTCCTGAACGCTGCTTTGTTACTTTTTACTGCAATTGTAACGTGTGTTTTACTATATATAAGCAATCGCACAAAGGTTTTCTTCATAGTCCTGGCTTCAGGTCAGGCTGGGATAAGACTGTGATTTGTTTTACCCTTGGCTCAGCTGGAGGCAGCAGCCACATTGTGCTGGGACCACGGTTTCTGCCTCCAGTATGACGATGTGGTGGAAATTCAGCTGGGAAACGGTGCAGACACTCCTGTGGCAATTGTAAGGCTTGGGAGGCTTTTAGAATGCACCACTCTGGGTTCATTAAGCCCGCAGTGGTATAATAAATGTTCTTGTGTCATCTAAAAGATGTGCCTTGGAGACTGATCAGGCAACTGAGGTAGGCAAAGTGTAATGGAGAAAATAACTTACAGAAGTGTCAATGCATGGGGCACAGAGATCTGGCTTGAGCTGCGTGGAGTTCAAACCACAGTTATTTCCACCACACCTCCTTCCTCCCAGCTTACGGTCTCACGCTTTTGGCATGCAGAGAAACAAGCAGTTGCATAAATCTGATAACTCTGAGGTTTCTGCCCTTTCCGATTTTGGGGAGGCAGCAGTGGATGGTGTGAGATTGACTGGGCTGGGGAAGAGTAACGTGCGTTACGGCTGAGCGGGGACCAGGGGGCTGCTTGGAGGCAGCCGAGGTGGGAGGGAGGAGACTGAAAACAAGGGGTGCAGGGAGGGGG